GGACAACAGAAATGTGGGTGAAGGGAGACGTCGGACAGGGCAAGATATGACAAAATAATTTATAAATCATCAAGGGCTCATGAGGGAGGGGGAAGCTGGAAGGGAAGGGAAAAATGAGGACCTAATGCCAGGGGCTTAAGTGGAGAGGAAATGTTTTGAGAATAATGAGGGCAATGAATGTACAAATGCGTTTTACACAATTGATGTATGTATGTATTGTGATAAGAGTTGTGTGAGACCCTAATAAAATGATTTAAAAAAAAAGAATATTGCCAAGAGTCAGAATGACCATAAAATGCATGCTTCGATCCAGACATTTTTAAGAATGAAAGAGGACATTGTAATTATAGTGAGGAAGCAAGTGAAAGAGAAGACAAGAAGGTAATGGGAGGAGTCATGAAACCATTGCAGTATTCCTATACCTAGCCTCCAAATATCCAGTCTTGAGCCCTCTAATATATTCTCTATAAAATCAGAGTGCCCATCCTAAACAGGTAATTTTAGAAATGCAAATATGATCACGTGACTCATTGACTAAAATATCATCACTTCTTGTTTGTTTATGATACAGACTATAATACTTAAAATATATTTTGATAATTTACTATCCCCCTGCTTCTCTTGTTTGGTTCATACCAGTGTTTGTTTAAAGCTCCGGCAAGTGTTAGATACGTTTTCCTGCTTCCCAGGCCTGGATCACAGTCACTTCCCACCTAATGCTTGACTAGTTAGCTCCTGAAGTCCCGAAGAAGTTCGTTCTTTCCACTACATTTCCTATAGTTTCGCAGCCATCATTTATACCATTAATATATATTTGTGCCATAATATATATTTGTGCCATTGTTTCATTTATTCTATCCATAATCCACAAATATAAATTCAATCTATAAAGTACTAGGTTTGCACTAATTAATTTTTCAATATAGAAAGAAGAGTAAAATGGATTAGAAGGATATTCCCAAGAGAATTTTGATAAGTAAGATCAATGTGCTATCCCTGTCACTATATATAAAATGAAAAGAAACACATGCACATTTCTATTGGTCTTAGAGTTTATTTTAATTTGTTACTCCATGGCCCACAGAGGTAATTCAAATGAAGTTTTAGTAAAATTTACTTATTGGAAAAGAAGATTCGATCTCAAAGATATAATTGATAAATTAATGTCTTTTAATTTACCAATGATTAAAACTAAATGCATGTAATATCTTTCTGAAACTGACCTTAAGTGGTAAGCCACCTGACGCCTTCCTCCAACTTGTGAGTGCAAGGGACAGACACAGCAATAAAAAGAGTGACAATTGTGACCAGTTAATTAATTACATTACAAAGCACGATCTTCTTACTCTGGTGCCTACAAGTTCCCCATTCTACTCCCAGTTACCAGATGCTGTGGCCATCTCCCACATAATGAATTCTTGGTACACAGTCCAGGAATTTTCTTCTTCAGGTTTGCTTAACCATTTATGGTTCCCCTATGACTCACCATGCCCCACCTATTAGAAAATGTGGCTAATAGAAAAATCTTGGCAGTACCTGTCTTTTGAGCACTATCATAAAAAACCAAACATTAATTCTAGTAATTTTTTCTGACTTCAAGATATCCAAGTTTTCCTTTATTTAACCCTTTTATTTCCATGTCTTTGACATAAGTTCAATGTTTCTTAATCAACTTGATCACTGTTTTTCTTGCCCTGATTCTAATAGCTAATATTTATTTTTTATTTTGTATTATTTATTTATTGATAGCTAATATTAAGGAATATTCACAACAATGACATTCTTCAAACTGCATTACATTTATTTACTTTTCTTTTAGTAATATCCATGATTTATGTAGAACATAGAAACAAATCAGTAAGTCAATGGAGTGTGCACATAGAGGGGACTATAAAACTCTCTGCCATCGAGTCAAAGCTGACTCAGAGACCCTACAAGGACAAGGTAGAACTGCTCCTGTGAGTTTCCTAGACTATAACTCTTTACAAGAGTAGAAAGCCTCATCTCTCTCCAGTGGAGTGACTGGTGGTTTGAACTGCTGACCTTGAAGTTAGCAGCAGGGCTCCCTAAAGCGGAATATAGGTTTATTTAAATCATAAAATAGTATGAGATGGTTTTCCATTAGTTATATTATTACACATATAGTCACACAGGGAAAGTGTAAAATGCCAATATTTACCTAATGCTTTATTCAAAAATTGTATAATACTTCTTTAGGAGTGCATCTGTCAGGCTAACATTAGATTTCTAATGGCACGGAAAAATCAACTCTGATTTATGACTCATTTCAATCCTCAGAGGGTAGTGATGTTAGAGGGTAGCTTAGAACTTTTTGACACGTTGATTTTTTACAGAACTAGACTTTGTCCTATGATTCTGTGGCGAAGGCAATAGTGACTTCCGTATGAGAACTGGTCATAGTTATCTGACTTTCTTTGCTTCTAAATTCTTAGTGACATGTTTTCCCAGAGTTGGGGCTCCAAGGTGTTGATACATGCACCCGCAGAAGCATTTGGCAGAGCTAGTTAGCAACTCCAGCGGTTCACTACTGCGTCACCCCTCAGCAGTTCACTACTGCGTCACCCCTCAGCAGTTCACTACTGCGTCACCCCTCAGCAGTTCACTACTGCGTCACCCCTCAGCAGTTCACTACTGTTTCACCCCTCAGCAGTTCACTACTGTGTCACCGCTCAGCAGTTCACTACTGCGTCACCCCTCAGTAGTTCACTACTGTTTCACCCCTCAGCAGTTCACTACTGTGTCACCGCTCAGCAGTTCACTACTGCGTCACCCCTCAGTAGTTCACTCCTGTTTCACCCCTCGTAACATAGTGCACCCTTTCTTATTACATTAATGCTTTACAAATGATAGAGCAATATACTGACATTTGAGTTTTATTATCCCTTTGTTTTCTTATATGGAGAAGAATGAGGAATCCATAATTCATGCTGCACTATACATGGTTACCCTTGTATAACACGCTCTGAGCCTTAACGCTGCTGCTTCTGCTTCTGCACAGAGGAGAGTCCTTGTGTACTGAGGCTCAACCAGCTACAGATATAAAATATTTGGGGTAGGAAGCAGTTAAGTGGTCAAAGCAATTCCTCAAACGCTATAAAGGAATGCAAAGTTTTATCTATATATCATTTACATTGTATTAGGTAGAATAGGTAATCTATAGATAATTTATGGTAATTGAGAGTGTGTGCATAGATTATAAGCAAATATACGCCATTTGCACATGAGATTTCAGTATTTTCAGATTTTGGAATGAGTGGGAACAGAGACAGGCTGGATTTTGCCAATCAATTGTCCAGAGACACTGAGCAAAGCTTTATTTGTTGGTGCAGTTTAAAAAGGGAAGGGAGCAGTGAGGAGAGGAGAATAATAAACGCATACTAGTTTCTTGGATTGCTAAATTAGAATGTGGTCACTCTTATGGTCTGGGAAGGAAAGCTTAGTGCCTAAATAGTCATTTGGGTTTTGGATAATTTTCTGCCTTAGCATTTTTTCTACCTTATGGTGGAGAGGGATGAAAGCCAAGTGGGGTTTGGAAGGAGATGTAAATTAGGAGCTCATTTCTATGATTATTTGATTCTGTTTTCATAAATAAACAGGCTACGCTAAAAATTAAGTTTTCACTTCAAATATCTCATTATTACCTAAAAATGAGTAAACGTTACATAGGCTTATTATCAGAATCACAAATAGAAAAGTAGTTGGATGACGTGGATGCATTCTTCACTGTAAAATGGCTGTATAAAGTGAACTAAACTCCCTGCCAGGGAGTCATAACTACTCACAGGGACCCTGTAGGGCAGGGAAGATCTGCCCCTGTGGGTTTCCAAGACTGTAACTCTTTATGGCAGTAAAAAGCCGTGACTT